CGGGACAACCAATGAGAAAGAGCTGTCGAACAATGCGCGGGTTAGAGAAAATGATACCAAAGATCGTGTTGTTCGGATTTAAAAACTACGAGATGGTCAACAAAAAAACGAGTTGGCAGTGAGCGCAGGGACTCGAAAGGACTTGAAACAGAAACGGCAGGACTTGGGATTTGACTTGACACTTTTCAGTCTTGACTCGGATTCGACTCGGACTTTGTCTATTTTGACTTGAGACTTGATTCGGACTTGAGTGCAAAGACTTGAGACTTGCTTGTGACTTGCAAAGCAATGACTTGGTCCCACCTCTGGTAAATATATATACGTGATTACCTGTCGTTTTTTTAAACTCAGTGACATGCAGAGATGTTAACGCATGGTGAGGCACTGACCACTGACTTCCCTGGAAGGGGATGTACAGATATATGATATACGGAAAATAGATGTTTAGATTTCAAATTTGACCTAAACTGAAATAATTACCATAAATTCAAAATAGAAGTGCACTGGAATGTAAGTTGCAGGGTTCAAGGTTTTGATCTTGCTAAAGGTGCCATAATATGCTTCTTTTTCTGCTTATTAAATTAACTATTTAAAAGCTTTGCCCAGCAGTTGGTGTTTTATGGTGAGACAATAAAGGTAAACACACCTTAATGCCTGCATTCCACAGCTCTGTGACAAGTCTGAGTCTCTCCTCCAGTAGATTTTTCTGAGCAGAGGCCACCATGATCTGGACCTCTGTGGTACGAATCTTCTCTGCAGATGCCTGATAAACAACACAACAGGATAGTTTTAATATTTCCTGCAAAAGGAGTTGGGGCTTTCCAAAGTTGAAATTATGGAACAAGTCTTTCTTAATAAATTTATGGCAGACAGGGTTTTAAAGCTAGAGTTTAAGAAAAAAAAAAAAAAAGGAAAATATGTTTCTCCCCCCTTTACCTCCGCCTTCTGTTCCATGATGGAGAAAATCCTTTCGATGCCAATGCTTACTCCCACACATGGCACTTTTCTGCCCTTAGGGTCGAACATGCCCACCAGGCCATCGTAGCGACCTCCTCCGGCCACACTGCCGACACTGACACTCTCCTCACCAGCGGCTCCATTCTGGGTTTCACTGGAGACGGCGGCGACACCAGCCTGAGTGAGCACTGCTTCGTATATGACTCCTGTGTAATAATCCAGTCCACGGGCCAGACTAAGGTCAAACACCACCTAAGAAGAGGTCAAAAGAGAACACTAGATAAATTAAGTTCAGAATAGATATTTAAAGATCAGCACAAAATATATTTTGTCACTAACCTTATCTGTGATCTGGAAGAGGTGCATGTAGCTGAAGAGCAACTTAATATCTGAAAGGCCAGCGCAGGCTTGTTTGCTCTGGGACATTTTTTGGTCCTGAAGCAGTCGCTCTGCTAAGTCCATTCCACCTTGAAGGCAAACAGTGTTTCGTTACTTTTAAGACTATAACCATTTGATGTGTTAGAATGCCCTCAACCGTTAAAGGTCATATCCTATTAGTGATGGGAGTATAAATTCTGTGATATATCGATACTTCATATCAACAAGTATCAACTTCCTTGAACATTGATACTAACTGATAGATGAAGGTACATTGCGTAAAATAAATTAATATGTTATGGAATATAAATATTAAAGTCTTTACATGACCAGTACTGGTCATGTGTTTTATTGGGTTTAAAAAAAAAACAAAAACACAAAGTATCGTTATCAATATTAAAACTATTGCATAACAGTAATGGGTATTGTACTGGATCAAAAATTCTGATATCGCACCATCAACACAGTGGTACCTCGAGATACAAGTTTAACAGCATTTGTATCTCCATTGCATTTTCCCCCATTTAAAAAAAATAACTAAAAAACAATAATTAGTTCCAGCCCCCTCAGTAATATACTATTAATTCATTAAATTTCAATCTCGCCCTATCTAAACAACAAAAACATTAGCAAACTTTATTGTTATAAAAATGGGTAAAATAACCCAGCGAGTAAGGACTCCCAATTTAGATGATAGAAAAAGAAAGAGAAAGAGAGAGAGAAAAAAAAAGAGAGCGAGCCAGAGAGAGAGAAAGCGTTGAGTGGGAAACTGGAGCTTGATTGAGAAAGATCGTAACTTGGAAAACTGGTATTTCGGGGAGCTCGTGTCTCGAGGCCCCACTGTATATCCTATACAAAACCCTAACGATATGGTCTGCAAAGTTCACTCACCCCGCATGCTGACATATTCCCCAATCTGGTCAGCTGCATCCTCGGACAAGCCCTTTTCATTCACCATCTCCTTCTTCACCTCCTCCCAGGGCACCTAGCCAAGAAGTGAAAGTTTAGAAACAGATTCTAACATTAGATAACTACAGTCATATTCCAAAAATGATTGAGAACTGTGTCAAGTAACAGCGACACCTCCAAACCTTGTCCAGTTTATCCACAGTTGAACAGATGGTTCTGAACTTGTCATCTGGAACGCCACACACGGCAAACATTCCATCGAGAATACGTCTGTCGTTCACCTGGTGAAGTGTTGGACATGGTTACGGAGTGGACAACAACCGTTTTGTCCATTAAAACGTGTGACAGCGCACACCTTGATACAGAAGTCACCGAGGTCCAGCTGACTGAGAATTTCGTAGACGATCTTTAGACACTCAGCATCTGGAATCATGGCATCATACTGCCCTGCGATATCAAAATCCTGAAACACGTATACAAATATGTGTTTAGTCGTTGAAAACAAAGACAGATTTAGGTCATCGTCGTTGAAAACAAAGACAGATTTAGGTGCAAACAGCCATAAAAAAAACTGGATCCATGACTTAAAAGAAATCACTGACACATTGGTAAAACTCTCTGTAGCGTCCACGGGTCATGGCTGGGTTGTCCCTACGGTAGACTTTGGCAATGTGATATCGCTTGATGTTGGTTATTTTGTTCATTGCCAGGTAGCGAGCAAAGGGCACCTGTAGGTGGAAGGAGTTAAGAAAACAGGACTTCCTTCTCTGGATACCTAAAATTTAAATCAAAATTCATACAAAACATTAGCTGCCCTGTTAACTGTACTTCAGCTGAAAATGTCATAATTTCAATTCATGTTTTATTTAAATATTTATATGGAGAAGAGATCTATGACAAGGGTTAGGGCCACTTTGAGAATAAATTAAAATAAATAAAATTTAGGGATGTCCGATAATATCAGTCGACCAACATTATCGGCCCGGTATTTGCATAATTATGTAATATCTAGAGGAATTGTTATCGGGTTTTCCTCCAATATTGAAAACCCGATACCGCAATGCCTGGGTTTTTGTAAAATGTGTGCTCTAAAAATTTTTTAATGCCCCGGCGACAGACCAGTCAGATAACTCAATGCTTTAAAGACCTTGTATTAAAACAACTCATTCTAAACACCTTTATTAAACTAAATAGATGGCAGCATTGTAGCTTATTTTATTAATACATATATATATGTTGATAATCAGGGGATTGTTATAAGAATGCTGGTGCCAGCAATTCATAAAGTGGTTTGTAAAGACAAACAAATAAATAAATAAATAAATATTATCAGGTGCTCAATATTATTATAACTGGGGGAGGGGAGGAGCCACCGCTGCACCGCTATATCGGTATCAGTTGATATTGGAACCTGAAATTAAGTGTTTGGACAATATCGACAGAATATTAATATCGAACATCCCTAATAAAACTACAAGATTAAAGTTGTAAATTTATAAAAAAAAAATAAAAAATTTAAAAAATATTTTGGTGGATAAGATATTAAGAAGTGTTTTTTTGGGCAATCACAAACTTTACCAAGGTCCATGTGATTCTTCCATCAGTACAGACTACCTTTTCAGTGTCCTGATGCTTATTAGGACAGAACATAAAACATAAAATTTGTGAACCAAATACTAAAGTATAGTTGCACAAAATTTTCCAAAATTCCACATTTTTTGATTGTGACGCACATATGGTAAACTTGCTTTCCTTCTGCCTCCCTCAAACACATCGCAATTTGAACTTTAATTTCGTAAAATTATGACTGTCATAAATTTGTTTATCTTGTAAAGTTATGCACTTCTTGATGTTTTGACTTCATTCTCATTAATTTATGAAAGTCATAAAATGAAGTCAAAACATCTTGTAATTTCATTTTCTTTTTCATTTATTTTTTATTCTCAATGTATCCCCCGAGAATGTCAAATGTCAACAAAATCTTAGATGAGAGGTGAAAGAAAGACAGTCCAGTGATCTTTAACTCAACCATCCTGTAGGCATCCAAGTAATTCCAAGTATGAAAAGGATACAGTGAGGTCGTATCTGAGTGAAAGCAGCTCTCCTCCTTGGTCTTTAAGGTCATAGATGAGCTTGGAATCTTCGCCATATTTCCCTGTTAATGTTTCCTACACAACACCAAAGGGACAATTCGTATCAAGACCAGATATTTTATTGTGCAACGAAGCCTGACAGAATGTGGAGAGACTCTACCTTTAGTTCAAAAACAGGCGTGTCAATGGTCTCTGCTCCATGGCGTTTGAAACTGCTAATAATGGTGTTGAAGACTTTCTCTCTGATGGCCATCTGTTTGGGGTTGTAGTCCCTTGTTCCCTGTTGGAAAGCATACGTGCACTCACATCTCTGCTTCATCACATTTGACCAAGATAATAAATAATAATGAAAATGATACAATTTCACTTCATTCGTCTGAAAACGTCCACTCGAGTGACAGGTAGAACAATTAAATACTCTTTCACTAGGTGGCACTAGATGGCTATAAAACAAAAAGGGAGAGACATTGAGGTAGTGCTTTGGCCCAGGGTTCACCTCCTGGGCAAGTTCGAATCCTGGTTAGGGCGGTTGGCGCCTTCCAGTGGACTCAACACCCACTGGAAGGTTCACAATGTACTGGCACGGTGCAATGCGATTTGGGTAGCGGTCGTGGAGACTGCTGCGCCCGCGACCCGGTAGCGGATGAAAATGGATGGATGAGAGACACTGAGCTCTGGATGATCCTTGCTTGGGCTTTCTTTAATTTATTTAAATATATCAGCGTTGTGTTAAATTAAACAGGCCCAGATAAATAGAATCTAGAAGATCATTTTATTTCATTACATATTACTTTTTGTGATGTGTTTGCTTTGCAGTGCACAAAGGGATTTTTCCTAATGGAAAAAATACTGTATGTGTCATGTCACAAAAAGGTTGGAAAAACACTGATCTAAAGTGATGATGTTGCACCTGCTCTTTTTTTGTTAATGGTATTAATGATAATGGTGTTAATGAGGTGATAATTTAGTGAACAAGAATTAAAAACACCAACTTTTTGTTATTTGTTTTTTGTAACTATATTCCAGTTTTGTAGGCCGTGAGTAGAAGAAATAGTTTTGCTTTGTATCTGTAAAAAAAAAATCTTTGTTTTTTATTTTATTTGGTGACAACCTTTATGCTTTTCAACGTCGTTGTTTAATGTGACTCAAATTAACTACATTGCCCTTGTTCTCCTTGTACAATTTCCTTCAATGAACAAGACTAATCTTTTATGCACGACATCTCTTTATATATACACATAAAGTTACTCAAAAATATTTTTCTTTTAATCTCCTGGTCTTTGCATCATGGTTGCTCTTGTCTTAGTGAACAAGCAGGGAACAACATAACTACAACAAAGTATTATTGCTGTCAAATTATTTTTGTACCATAAACAATTATTTGCATCCTCTGAGTATATATGATTCGCATCCCTACCTTTGCAGTCTTGAGAACATACTGATGTTTGCCTTCATCTCCTCCCAACCGAGCCTTCAGCTGTAACAGTTTGGCTACCTCTTCATCAATCTGCAACACGCACCATACATAAACATTAACAGCTACTGTCTCAGTTTGCGAAATCCTTAACACACACACAAACATACAGCAGCATACCTGAGCCACAGTGATTCCAGGTAAAGAATGCAGAAGTTTAATGTGTGTTGCAGTCCAAAGGCGAGTCAGAGAGGAAAGCGCACGGATACAAAACATGCCCAGCATGTTAGTCCAACAGCAAAGTAGACACAAAGATAATTTGAGTAAAATCCAGAAATTCAGCAGTGCGTTGTTCGAAGGTGAATTTCGGTGCCAACCACAATCGTCGTTCAGAGTGGAGGGTTGAAGTAGTGCAAAGTAATGTGCAGGAGGGTTTGTGTCCGCAGGTGTTGACGG